TGAGGTCACGGTGTGAGGGGGCGTTGTGCCTAACGACGAGCTCACCCCTCTCCAAGGGACCAGAGCGCCCGTCTGCATTTAATCTCTCGATTCACCGCTGCCAGAAATAGAATAAGGTGACGGTCTAACATATACTACTCACAAAATGTTCGGTTGAAATTTCAGGAGATAAACTCACATCTTTACAGGTGAATTTCATTTGACCTCCGAGCGTCCAACTGTTCAAAGTTTCACTCTTTTTTTGCACTCTAACAATAAAATAAACAGCAGGTGCCACCCTCAATGGGATTGTAATTGCCGATAAATACCACAAGATGACAGCAAAGGACTACTTATGCCTAAATGAAGTTCCTCAACTCACTTCATTTTTTTTTTTTTTTTTGCACCCAGGTGCCATGTGATTACTCCACAACAATTGCTTTGGCGTTTCTCAGCAAATAGATCTTAATGATGGTTTTTGGTGGTGGGACGTGCCTCCAACTCAGGTTTCCCACGCCTACTCGGGCTGCTCTGTCCGAAAACAAGCCATGTTGCCTGAATTGATGAAGCCTTCTTGGATGGGACGCAAAACGTCCTCTAAGACCAAGAGAGCGGTCCAGGTGCGATCGATTCATTGCCTTGCGAAAAAAATCACCTCGACCAATGAGAATAGCCACAAGCATGATCGGTTGCAGGCAAATTTGCTCATGCCGAACCATTATTTTACTGGATCAATTGTTTGATGACGTCTTGGACTCAGGATGTCAAAATGTGATTCTAATTGAACCAGGAAAACGTATGGGCCCCGTTCTAAATCGAACACCTGTTGTCACATTTGCCGTTCAGCTCTCCTTGTTCCCCCAAAATGGATTGGATAAACTGAAATGAAGTTGACCTGGAAAGTTTATGATGCCTTTTAGGTTTATCCTGAAATTTCACCCGGAAAGCAAGAAGCCTATTTAGACAATTCTAATCCGCGTCATAGTGAAACGGCTTCAAAACGACCACTTTTCAAAGCGTCAGGAGCGCTCCAGTTGTGCGATAGCATACATCAGCCATATTTTGTAAGTGAATTTGCCATCTTTGCCATATACACAGCAGTGCCATTACTTGCACAGAGCAGTAGGGTGGAGGAACACGGCGGTACAGTACAGGTTGTACAGTCGACGCTTTTGAAAAAGCACTCAGGAGCCATATTAGATTTTATA